TCTAACTGTCAGTCTGTCTATCGATCTGTCTGTCAGTTTGCCTATCTGTAGGTCTGTCCGTCAGTCGGTTTGTCTGTTGGTGTGTCTGTCTGTTAATCCTTGGTTCGGAATTGGATGAAGTTCCCACATAAGATCACTGCGATGGCAAAGACGAAGTTTTTAGAAATCGGTCTAGTATCAAAATAAACACCTGTATTACATAACTCAAAAATCGATATATATAGATTTTCATGCCATTATGTGGGTTTGTTTTGACATTATGTAGGTTTTCCTTTCCAAGTTCACTTATAGTAAACGCGACATGAACTAGCCACTAGGCTACCTAGCGCACAATTTGACATTTTACCGATTTTTTTGACATTGTGTAGGTTTTTTACGTAATAACCTTGCGGAGGTAGTCATTGTGAAACCCGTATATAGCGCGCAGGCATCCCTTTGATGCTCATATATCTTGTATATGCATATTTCAGTTAGCAGTGACGAATTTTGTCATAAAAGTGTTAGCATTAGTTCATTTGTGGATAATTTCTGCACAAGAGGTCAATGTGCTCGAAATCTCTGACTTTATAATAACATTGCTTATAATTGTGTGCTACAAGAATCATTTGTGCACTCGCACTCAAACCGAATAATGTCAACAGGTGTTATGTCATATGCATAATAGCCAATATTTCTTTGTCAACCTGTCATTTATGAATAATGTATGTTGTACAAATCCGTTCAAGTGAAACAATCGGCAATGCATCTGCACGCCAATAAAACGAAAATAAATGAAAATTAATATTTATAAAGATAGATAAATAAACAGTGATACCAGCTTTAATGTGTAGTTGAAATGCTAGCGGCCGTATACTTTCCCCTTTTTGCAACAACATTAAAATACCATGTCGATGCAGCGCAGACTTCGACTAATTACTCAGCTCATATTGGCAAATTTCAAGTGAATGTTAAACTTAGTTTTCACTACCCAATTGTTTTAATTTTGAAAAGTACAACGTTAGAAGGTATTGGTAGGCAGACGAGGTGTGCAGGTTTTACAAGTCAAAATAAAACATGAATGAAAGACATAATGCGACGTCAAAATTTATGATGTTCGATAGTGAATAAGACCGTGTTGAAAACTTTGACAAAACAAGAGTAGACTATAGAGACACTGACTCTATCTTATGCGCAAGTATAAATATTTCTGGCGGCCATACAGTGACAGATATACGAGCCCCTTCCCACTTCAGTTGGCCCAACTATTGAAATCTTAGTTTTTTTCTTATCAAACACAAATAATAAAAATCTAGCATGGTGTTATAGGTTAAAAATATTAACAATGAATATTTTGACTTTGAAGTTGAGTCATTAATTTTCAGATAATGATTGTAGAAGGAAGATAAACCAAAATATGTGTGTAAAAATAAAAAAAAAATAAAAAAAAATTTTTACCTTGTTTTATAAAGTATCCTCCCAACAAGTACTTCAGTGCGGACCTGTATTTGATCGTGAGGTGCCCTGTGAGGTCTTAAGTCACCTGATTCACGAGCCCGTTGTATTACATTAACAAAGGCACGAGGGGTTGGTTGCACTCGATTGGGAAACCGATCCGCATAAACATGTGCCATTTTTTATTTCGTTTGAGCCACGCAACAGACACTATTCACACGCGACTGACACTGACAGTATGTATAACTGAACTGAATGAAATAAAAACATCTTCCAAATTCTTTCGCTTTTTTGTTTCCCATGCGATGAACCGATAAGGTGGATTAGATCCGTTGTTGCCAAACACGAGTACATGATATTAGCCCAAAGGGCTATAACTTTGTTACTTTAATTGTACCAGAAAAATGGTAAAGGAAAAAAACATTTCTTTTGATCAGATCTACTCACTGTTAAAATAAATGACTCAACTTCGAAGTCACCCTGTATAGTAGAAAACACCAACTTTATCACTCCCTAATCAAATTTGCAGCATAAAAATTATACATGTTGCAATTACAGCATATCAACCTATTTTCATTTCAATGCAAAATAAGTCTATAACGCATAGGTGGCTGTGAAAAATAAAAGCCATGACATTTGTTTTTTATATCACAGCTGTCAGAATACGTTTAAAATAGTTTTGGGTAGTTAAGGTTTTCAAAATGGGTAGAGGAAAGGTTATTAGTGAGAAAATTCGGTTACTGATAATTAAATTTTTTAATTCTGGGAAATCAAACACAGAAATTGCAACTTTGTTAAACTTATCGCGGTTCAGTGTGAGAAATATGTTAGAAGATATAACGTAACTGGTTCAGTTAATATTAAGCCACGATATGTGAAAAAAGTAATATCACCAATGCCGACCGAAGAGCATTAAAAAGAATAATCGTGAAAAACTGGCGTGCCAATTGTTTACAATTAAGTGCTCTGTGGATTGACGCTGTTGGAAGGAGAATTTCGAGGTCCACAACTCATAGAGAGGCCCACAAACTGGGATTTAGCACTTGCAAGGTAAGTTTTCTTATAAAAAAAAGTGACGTGTGCAATACAATGGAGTGATGAGGCCCGATTCGAAGTTTATGTTGGTGACAGTCGCAGTAGAGTTATTCGAAAAAAAGAAGCATTCCATGTTAACTGTCTGGAGAGAAAAGTGAAATTTCCAGCATCCATTATGGTGTGGGGCAGTATGTCATCCAAAGGAGTAGGAAAACTTCATGTATTGATGGAAATGTGGATACAAACAACATCCTGCTCGGACAATCACCGAACTGAGACAAAGGCTTCAAGAAATATGAGATTTTTTTACACCAAATTTTGCCAAAACCTGGTTAACACTATGCCCCACGAAGTTTCAGCCGTAATAAAAAATAGGTATGTTACCCAATGGTAATCTTTCAATTGTTGCTTTGTTAACTTCGCGCATTTATACGCACATTGTTTATTTGTTCAGATGTGCTATTAGTTATAGGTCTAAGTGATTTCAAATATGTATTTTTACGACTAGAGTGTATCTAAAATATTTTTGAGAAAATAAATTGTTTTAGAAGTAAATAGTTTAGTCATGTTTAGTTTATAAAGGCATATTTTGGTACAAAATCTTGAAGTGGGCCAACTAGTGGGAAGGGGTTCGTAAGGCACTTGCTTGGCTGTTTAAGAGAGAGCTGATCTCAATACTGCCCATGTGCAACTGGAAGCTGTATGTCTGCGTGGCAAAATTTAAAAATGTGGTGTTTCCTAGACATGTGACAATGTTCAAGGATTTCGGAAATTATTTTTTATTGGTAAGGTGAGATGTTAAGCTTGACAACATACCAAAATTCCAATGTTCCCACGGTACTATGAACTCTCTAAAATACGCCAGGGTAATTTCATACGGGTTCTACAATGAACTGTTTCAGAACATTCTGATGTGCGTAATATGTTGATAGATTTC